GGGGGGGGGGATAGAATCAAACCTGGGATGGCACAAAAAGAGCATTGGTTGCACTGTTGGATATCTGGCATGAATGTTGTGTATTCATCCTTCCCTTTTTTGACCTCTCAGTTGCTTTCAACATCAACCATTATATCCTTCCAGATCAACTCAGAACGGAGATTGGGGGTGGGCAGTAGTGTTATACTGGTTCACCCCTTCTCCAAGAAGAAATCCCACCCTGTTGGGTGCCACAGGGGTTGGTGCTCTCTCCTCTCCTCCCTTCCCCTCCCCTCCATCATGATGCTGGATGGGGAGCAATAGGCTTCACCTAAACCCTGGCAAGATTGAGAAGCTTTGGGCTTTGGAGTTCTCTGGTTCTGGAAATGCCCTCTTTGGTGTTGGGTGGGATTGCATTGCCCCAAACAAACCCTGTGAGCAATCTGAGAGTCCTGGTCTCACAACCTTTGCCTGATGAGCAGATGGCAGTAGTGTCTAGGAAGGTCTCTGCACAATTTCATATTGGGTGCCAGTTGTGCCTTTTCCTAGATTGAGAGCCATACTCACAGTCACTCACACACTGGTCACCTCCTGGTTGGGCCATTGTAATGTGCTCTGCATGGGGCTGCCCTTGAAGAGTATCCAGAAACTTCACTGTTGCAAAATGCAGCAGTACAAAGAGTTATGTGTGTTTCTGATAGAACATGTTACACTTCTGCTCTAAGTTGCATGTGTTACCTGTTTGTCTTGGGAGTCTAATTCAAGTTACCGATGTTGATCTTTAAAGCCCTATATGGCATGAGGCCAGGTTCTCTGGGGGAGGATTACCTCTCCCCAATTACATCTGCCCATCCCACCAGATCCAGCATAGACAGCATGTAACAGGTTGTCATCTAAGGAATTACATATGTTGGGCACTAGGCACTGGGCCTTTCTGCTGTGGCATCGCTTTGTGGAATTTCCCCCCGCCCCCAATGAGGCTGGTTCCATCACTGCTGACCTTCCAAAGGTCCCTCAAGACCTGGTTGTGTCATCAGACTTGGGTACCCCAAGGTCCTAGTGAACCAGTGAAGTGGCCCCTTTATTATTAACATCCTTTTGCCCACTACATATTTTATCTTTGCTTTTATAGTTTTTAATGTTTTTTTATCAAAATAATTATTTTTAAGTCTTTATTAACCGTTCCAATGATTGTTATATGCACCCCCCCAAGTCACCTTTTTGTGAAATGGACAGCTACATAAATTTGACAAATAAATAAACTCGCAAGACAAATGAAGAGGTTCTGCATCAGAAAAGACCAAGAACTGTAACCAGTCATGAAAACATGAGACCCCACAACTTCATTTAACAGAGATGCCACCACTTTATATAAGCTAAAAACACTTTCACTACAATTCTGAGCCCATGTGCATTCAGTAGGGAATTTGTAAGTTGATGGTCAGTGGGTCACCCTTGCATACATATTGAACAGTCACAAAAAAATAAAGGTATCAAGACTTAGGAGAAATTTACACAGCAGTCTTAGCTACTCTTCTCCCATGTTCTCGCAAACCAGTTTGAGGATTCTCACTTTGAACAGAAATAAGAACAACCAAAGACCATTTGCTCTTTCAAATTTTTAATATGTTAAAAAAAATAGAAGCCAGTTCTGATTTTGTTATTTCTTTGAGGATAGTTTCATTCTTTTCTTCTGAAAGAAAAATATCACACATCATGAGAGTCAGACAAACTGCAAAAAGGCATAGGGGAGGGGCAGAAGATAGAGGTTGCTGTTACTGCTGCCGCCAACTACATTGAAGGAAGACATGAAACAAAACCACAAGTTAGCAAGTGACAAACAGCTATGGCTTCTGTAGAACTTCCCTGAACAGAACATGCTGGAATCTCTCAGCATATAGAATGGCAGCTCACCAACTTCCTCTCAGGCACCATTTGTGGGACCTTTCCTGCTCCCCAGAGCAAAAGTCTTGCAGATCCTCAAACATAATTCCCCCATCCAAACCCCACAACACAAAGCAAAGGAAAACATGTTTGAGGCAACAATTCAAGTTCTAAACAAATCGGGGGAAATGTCTAGCCCGTAGGGATTCGTTTGAAGGAGATTCTACTGTAAAATCCCATTTTTCCTGGGTTTGGTGAAGATCATACTGTAGGAGTGCGCTAGATACGACAGAGTGGGACTAGGCAAGCAAAAACAATGGAAACAGGATCCCAAATGGATGCACAGCCCATCTCCACATGCCCATCGTATCAACCTGTAATACTACATTGCCAAACATATAAAAAAGCTTTAAAAGTGCACAAAACTGGTGGTCAGCCCAAGCTGCTGTGATACACACTGTCCACCAGGTACCTCTCTAGCAGAAAATGAGTAAATGGCTAAAACAAGACTGGAATTCAGTTGCCAAAAGAAACCCTCTGAACACCAGAAGTGCAGAAGCAGGTTATCGGGGGGGGGGATTAGAAAGAAGACAAGAAGGGGTGTATATATATATATATATATATATATATATATATATATATATATATATATATGTCTTGGCATATATATATATATGTCTTGGCATATATATATATATATATATATATATATATATATATTTGCCAAGCTATTGAACATGAGGGGGGGGGGGGAAATAAAGCTATTTATGGCAAGGAATTAGCCTTTTAGAAATCCAAGCCATGTCCAGTGTCAAAATTAAACTTAGATTAACTGCCCATTCTCAGATCAGGGGGGCTGAATCTGCCTCCAAATTCCTTGCCCAGCTTGGTTCTCAGTGAGTGCCACTTCCTGATGGCCAGGGGTTGAGCCGGCACTGTGGGCAGCAACCTGAATGAACAAGAACATCACAGGCCTCAGACCGTTCTCCAGCAGGCCACCCTGCAGGCCAACCCGAACAAAGTTGGTAGGCCTCCAGATCGCAGATCAGTTCCACCACCTCATCAACCGTGGTCAGGCGGGCAGGATGGCTGGCATAAAGTTCATGTTCCTGAGGCACCAGCAGACCTTGCACTACAACATGGAAAAAAAGGCCTGGGCGGATGTGAATGACTGCAGCAGACATGGTGGAATGTTTCGAGTGCTGGACGAGACGCAGGTCTGGGCTGCCAAGTGGAGGCAACACCTCCCAGTGAGCAGGGAGAGGGATCTCATTCAGCTCAGCTAAAAACTCTCGCAAGACGCTGTCCAACTGAGAGAGGGGCTGCACACCGCCCAGGCTGTAGACCTCCATAATCTAGAGAGAGAAAGAGCAAAAAAGTCCAGTTTAAGTATCCTTTTGGTACAGGTAGTCCTCGACTTACGACCACAATTGAGCCCAAAAATTCGGTTGCTAAGTGAGGCATTTGTTAAGTGAGTTTTGCCCCATTTTACGACCTTTCTGCCACAGTTGTTAAGGGCATCACTGTGGTTGTTAAGTTAGTAACACAGTTGTTAAGTGAATCTGGCTTCCCCATTGACTTTCCTTGTCAGAAGGTTACAAAAGGTGATTAACATGAACCCGGGACACTGCAACCGACATAAATATGAGTCAGCTGCCAAGCATTTGAATTTTGATCACATGACCACGGGGATGCTGTGATGATTGTAAGTGTGAAAAACAGTCATAAGTCACCTTTTTCAGTGCTGTTGTAACTTCGGACAGTCACTAGTAGACTGTTGTAAGTCAAGGCCAGTAGTAATCAAATAACTTTAGATAAGCTTCCATTTTCCCCAGTTTGGCTTAAATAGGGCACAGGGGCCTCTATTTCAAAGCCATTCCTTGTCACGATTAAGGCAATGACTCAAGGTCTCAACTAATGTAGCAGTTCAGTCTCAGATATGTGTAAACCACAGGTAATCTTGGGTCTGGGGTGAATTAATTTAAGAATGTGTCCAGGAAAATCACATTTTACATATTCTGAATACAATAACATTTGCAGTAAAGAACCAATTTGGCATTCTGAGGATTCATCCAGTCTCCGTTGGGCTTCTGGACATTCACATGGCAAGAAATGTCTCTCGGCAACAAATGAAGGCCAGCGACAATTCTATCTTGACGAAGCGAGTCAAAGCATGGGTAACCTCCAGGTTAGATTACTACAATTCGCCACAGAAGACCCCTTGTTTGAAAGCTGCCCCAAAACTGCCATCTGTAATCAAGTACAGGCAGTCCCTTGGTTAACAACAGTAACTGGGACCAGCAACTCCATCACTAAGTGGCACAGTCATAAAGCGTGATATCCCGTGACTGGCTCAACTGAGAATGACAGTTGTGGCAATTCCAGGTATCATCATTAGATAAATTCTGGGTGATCACAGCATCACACAATCAAAGTTTTGAGACCTCCAGCTCGTTTCCCTATTTAATCTGCTTGTTGGAAGCCAGTAGTGAAGGTTGCATAATGGCGAAGTTCACTCAAATGGTGAACTTCAAATGGCAAAACTAATGCGGACAAGATTCAGTCGATTTGACTGAGGAGTACAAGAGCTCACAGAAGAAGCTAATATTTTGAGAACTTGCCTGTGACAAATTCATCATCAAATAAAAATTGATGGGCTTTTTTTTTTAACTAAAGGAAACAGCAGGTACAGGTAATCTTCGATTTACAACCACAAGTGGGGCCAGAATTTCCATCGGTAAGTTGGTGTGGTCATAAAGTGAACCTGGCTTCTCCAATTGACTGCTGCCAAAAGCCAGCTGGGGAGGTCACAAATTGTGTTCATGGGACCCACAAGATGCGGCAACCACCGCAAATAAAAGCCAGTTGCGAAGTGTCTGGATTGCAATCACATGATTATGGGGGGGCGTGGTACGACGGTTATGATTTCAAGGACAGTTCATAAGTCACTTTTCCCAAGATTATCAATAACTTCGAGCTGTCATTAAACAAAGAGTTGTGAATCAAGTGGACTAGAAGACCTCCAAGGTCCTGTCCAACTCTATTATTCTGCCTTCTGTATTCAAGAACTACCTGTAATTTAAATCCTTCTCTAGCTTGGACAGATGTGTAGAAAACAGGGAATTATTTCCAATCACAAGTGACTTTTGTATTTAAAGAAGAACTAGCCACCCAAAATGAGAGAACAGATGATGTCTCTTGAGAGAACCTCTATCTGTGATTCGTGAGGAAAAAATGCTCCCCAAAAAGGTTTTAGCGTATTTTATCGCTATAAGTGTTTCTTCACATTGAGACACTAATTGCTATGTTTGATCAATCCATGGCAGTTAGAAAAACATATGGGTGAATTAAAAGATATCCATTGCATTGTTTGACAGAAATACCCAAGACTTCCTCTATAAAAGTAGAGCCTTTGGGCTGATACTAGCCAGCCTTGAGATGAGCTAGATAACAGATTCAGACTGTGCCTAAGCAGGAATCAAACAAAAAACCTAGACAAGAAAAACATTATTCACTCATTCAAATGTAACCAGATTATAATTCTGGGTTACACTCAAAAGAGTTAATAGAGGACAGTGTTCTCTAGAAATATAACTGCATATTCACTGAATCAGCTTTTCCATGAACATTTTGAACACCGTGATCTGATTCTAGTGGTGTGTTTGCCAAGCTCAACAAGAAAGAAGAGAATTTTGCTAATACTTAATCATACTTAGTTACACAGCAACACCACCACTATTGTTAAAAGTTGAAATCAGTGCTATTTGCCTTTCAAAATTTTCTAATATGGAGTTCAGGAAAAGGAAATACTCTCTATGTTCTAGATCAGAGGTCCAACCTTTTGAGTACCAGGGACTGGTTATGTGGAGAGGTTTTTCCGCGGACCGAAAGGGGTGTGGTTTTGTGTGCTGCCTGCATCCTGTGGATGGAGTTTTCCTTGTTTGTGCGGACCGGTTGCTGGCATGCCACAGCCCGGTACTGGTCCACGGACCGGGGGTTGGGGACCCCTGTTCTAGATAGCACTAAATTGGCTTTTAAATATGAAATATGGGAGTTTGAATTTTAGAGAGATGATATATGGTACATGGTACCTTCAAAAAGTCATAGCCAGAGACAAAGAGCTTCAGCTCTATTGCTCTCTTATAGAAATTTGCATTTCATAGATGTTAGCTGAGCACATACATACAAGAAGCTGGAGAAAACTCAAATGAAACCATCAGGACAGCCAAGCACAGAAAAGCAGCCAAAGCAGCAGACAAATGGGAGGAAGCAAGGAGACTGAAAGCAGATTTCCCAAGAGCAGCAAGGAAAGACAATAAAGTTTACACTTACAAGCAAGTGTAAGATGACTGCTTGAAAGGCTACCCCCCGGAAGTCCAAAGGATTTGAACAATATTTGTTGCTCATAAAAGCATCATCAAAAAGAAGCAAGAGAAAGAACTGTCTGACCGATAAGGTGTGAAGAACAGAGGGTGAGAATAAACAGAAGAGCTGTATACCAGCAACAAAGAGGCCCAACTTCCTCAGGATGATGAGGAAAGGAAAGTAGAAACAGCACCAGCCATCCGTCAGGAAGACGTTGTGTAGGCAATGAGCCAACTGCCCCCCAAAAAACAAGGCTCAAGGGTTTGAAACCATCCCTGCAGAATTTCTTAGGTTTGTATCACCCACAACCACCATAGCCTTGTACTGGAAAATTGGGGAAACAAATACAAATAGCCACAGGATTGGAAATGAGCAGTGTTTATTCCACTAACAAAAAAGAGCAATTCCAGAGATCGCTCCAATTAATTGTACAACTGTTCCTCATCTCATGAGCTAGCACGTTTCTCCTTAAGATTGTACAGTTTATTTTGAAACCTCCCCCCCCCCCAAAAAAAAATTAAACTGCACCAGAAAATTTCCTAAGTGAGAAGAAATCCCATGGAAAATATCTCTGTATCTCCGTTTTCATTTACACTGCTCATTGCTGACCACCAGTAACACTTATTGCTGGACAGACCTTGTCTCCATTAACAAGGTACATTGTTTCATTGTTCAACTAAGGCAGAGATATAATGTGACCTCAAAAAGCCACGGAATGGCAATAAACTCAAAGCTCTGGGATCACTCAAAGCACTGAGACAGTAGACAGACAGAGATTGATCACAGAAAGAGAACCAGATCAAAAGGCATGAGAATTTCACACCTATCCCCAAACTTCTTACATCCAAGAAGGGCAGTGACAAGAACCATATGCTCCAGAGGAAAATCTCTACTGATAAGGAAGAACAAGCAAGATAACAAGCAAGATGGTTCTTGTCGCTGTCCTCCTTGGATGTAAGAGATTTGGGGATAGGTGTGAAATTGTCATGCTTTTTAATCTGGTTCGCTTTCTGTAATCAGTCTCTCTCCCTGTCTACGGTCATAAAATCATACTTCACACTCACATTTCCTTCACAAACATAACACAAAGGGCCTCAAATCCCATAAATATCTCACTAAAGTACCAGTCAATAGCCAGCTACCCCAAAAACAAACTTTGTTATTGTTTTTGGAATAAAAAGAGAGACTGCTTTGCCAGCAGTTCATCTTGCATCTTGATCGCTGGTACTCTTTTCCCAGCTCAGGGAAATTCTCCCAACAAGATCATACAATAGTGTCTGGTGCCATCCATCAAAAAATAAATTATTAGATATTCAAGCTGGTTTCAGAAGGGATCATGGCACTAGTGACTATATTACAAATTATTCTGGATCATGGAAAAATCTCAACAATATCAAAAGAACATCTATATCTGCTTTATTTACTACAAGAAAGCCTTCCATTATGTCAATAATGATCTGTTTTGGAGAGTCCTAGAATAGACCCCTGGTCTATGGACCGGCACCGGTCTGTGGCATGCCAGAAACTGGGCTATGCAAACAAGCAAAGCCCCATCTGCGGGATGCAGGCAGCATCACAAGACCATGCCCCCTCCGGTCCACAGAAAAACCTCTCTTCATAGAACCGGTTCCTGGTTGGGATGGGGGCCACTGTCCTAGAAGACCTGGGGATGCCAACACATCTGGTCAAATTGATGCAGACTCTTCTACACAGATCAGGAAACTATTGTGTAAACACCATAGAGAGACACTGATTGGTTCAAGACAGAGAAAGGAGTGTAGCAAGGTTGCATTCCTTCAATTTTCTTATTCAACCTGTATGCTGAAGTGATTATAAGGAAGCTGGAATTTCAAGAATCAAAAATTGGGGTAAAGATTGGAGGAAGGAATATCAACAATCTTTGATATGCTGACAACACAACTCTCCTTTCAGAAACCAAAGAGGGCTTGAAAGAAGATCCAAAGGATTAAAGAAGAGAGCAAGGAATTTGGCCTCTTCCTGACCACCGTGAGGAATGAACATTTTCAAAATAACATCTGACAATGAAAAGATTGAAAGTCCGCAAGTACACTTCTCTAGGATCACAGATTGATCAAAGCAGAGAGAGCAGTCCAGAAATAAAAAGTTAAATTGCCTTGGGTCACACAGCAATGATGAGCATGAATCGCCTGGTAACTAAATGCAGGTTAGTCTGTGCTATCGGGTTTCCCACAGCTACCTACAATTGTGAAAGTTGGATTATAAAAAAAACAAAAACTAGATAGGAGGAAGATTAACTTGTTTGCACTGTGCTGCTGGAGAAGGCTCCTCACATTCCTTGGACAGCCAAAGTGACAAACAATCAAGTACTGTGGGGAGTATAAAACCAGGCATATTGCTGGAAGGCAAAATCACCAAATTCCACCTTACTTATTTCAGCCATGTCATGCAATCAAACTGACAGGAAAAGGCAGTTTTGCTCGGAATGGTCAGTGATAAAAGGAAATAAGACCGCCAAAAAACACAGTTGCTAGGCATAATCAAAGCCAACACCAGCCAGAGCATAAAACAATTGAAAGAAGCTGTACAAAACTGGAAAACTGGAGACAGCTGGTTCATAGAATATCTGAGAACTGGATATGATTGCATGGATAGCAATATTGTTTAACAAAGATGGCTGGCAAGCTGGAACAATAATATGTATCTTTTCTCTTATTAGGTATTTATTTTTAGGATTGGTCAAGGACCATAATAAAATTTTCAAAACAAGGTTTCCATGCTATTATCCCACAATCCACCTCTCTTCCAAATCTCTTATTGTTGAAAAAAACCTACAGTCGAAAATTTCTCCTTCACCTCACTGATCTCAGTAGCTGTTGTTGCGTATCCATCACCTTCTGCTGGCCATATGTATTGTGATTCTCATCCCCACGATCAGGAACAAAGTTGCCCAGGATCAACAACCAATAATAATAATAATAATAACCTTTAAAGAGTTATTATCACAGTGCCCAAAATTATCCCATTACGTACCACTGGAGGCTGAATTTGCTGCAGTGGTCCCACTTCATTGTCTTCTGAATCGTCAAGAACTACCACTTCTGTGCTTGATGTTCCTGACAGTTTCTTAAATTGGGGGAATCCTGCTGATATCTGCAGCAATAAAAATAGGCTCAAGGTTTAATTTGGAAAAGTCAACAAATAGGCCTTTCTCAGATTTCTCAGTGCCCAAACCCTACTTCAGACAACAAATCTGACATCAGAAGGGAACTGTACATACAGAGACACGTACAAGTGATATTTCAAAGGAAGCTGAAGCACAGATTATACAGACAAATAAAAATAGATGGGATTACAAGGCAACCTACAAGAGACCTCCTTGAAACACCTCTTAAATGCACAGGCCTGGAAATATTTCTTGTATGATTGGGAATCCATGAAACTAAAGCCATAAGAACATAACATAAATAATTCCCTGCTGGATTGGATCCTTTATCCATCTAGTCCAGTAGTCTGTTCTCACAGTGACCAACCAACTGCGCGCACACACACACACACAAAATCCCACTTGTCTCCCAGGAGATTGTCCTTCAAAGGCAGTCACACTGCCATCAAGTCTAAGAGTCACTGACCTCTAAGGATTGGTCCAAGTGTTTTTTGAAACCAGCCAAACATGGGTGGAATAATACAAAAGCAAAGGATTGAGAAATTAAAATTTTTCCCCAGGTCAAAACTTGGCAAGCACCCAACCGTAATTCAAATTTGTTCAGTTCTGAATGGGAAGGCTTGCTAAGACTCTACAAAGTCTGGTTTTTTTTTCCAGTTAAGTGGGTGACATCCTTTCCTTTTGTCCTCCATTTCCATATTCATTCTAGTAGGGAGCAGAAGGAACTGAAAATCATTTCACCAAGCCACCGCATTCCCTTAAGACTTAATGATGCTGGAACTGCTGGCCAGAAATGGTATTGCACTTCGGTGGTTCGAGCCTGGCTCCGTGAGACGGAGTGAGCTCCCATTGCTTGATCCCTAGTTTCTGCCCATCCAGCAGTTCAACAGCATGCAATATTGCAAGTAGACAAATAGGTGGGGGAAAAACCTCGCTGCATTCATGTGTGCAGAGAGCAGAAGCTGACACTGGACCTGGCCAGAAGCGAGGCATCACGACACAAGACGAAGCAAGGCAAGACTGGTGGAGGAGCCTGAAAGAGCCAGCAACCCGAGCACTGCTACTTAATTGGTATAAAGCCAGTTCTCCCCCCCCCCCTATAGTACCCCAAGGGTAGCCAGCAAGCACCAAACAGAATGAATTAGCAATCTAGGCTGTCAGGACTGCACTGTGTCTAGCATGTGTAGATTTCCCTGATATTGTATGCCATATGCTAAGTAAACAAATAAAAATTTCAGCAAGCAACCAGAACACTAAGGTGATTTGGCAAGGAAAGATACCTTAAACTAGAGCTTACCAGAGAGTCATTGGATGCCTGACAATTCCCACCTGGTTCTCCATATTCTTGCTTGTTTGGGGGAGAGGTGGCAATAAGGAGATTGACTGCAGGCAGTTGGGTATCTGGATCCTATGAGATACATTATACCAAAATATTAGAGCCTATAAATGGAGATTTTAAACCTAAAGTTTCAAGCTACATACAAGATGCAGTTTTAAAAAAAGAGACATAAGTGCACTCTCGGCCACAAGCAGTATGTCATTGCTGCTCTTTTTCAAGTCTAATCGTGCCATGTTAACATGTTCATTCAATAATCTGTTACTGGGGGGGGGAACATTGCTCAGGAAACAAACCCCCCTGTGTGAGATCACTCTCTGCTTGACATTTGAAAACGAGGTGATGCACAGAAGAATTTAAAAAAAAGAAAGATGCTTGAAAAATGCAAGTTTGTTTGCAATTTGAAAACAGTATTGGCACAGCCAACAAATTTAGGATGGGACTAAATGTGTGGCTTCTACATGTTCATCCTCAATTTTTAAAGGAAGAAAATCAGTAAATATTAAGGTAGAAAGCATTTTGCAATGCAGTATTTTCAAGAAAAATCAACACCAAACAAGCTAAGCAAAAGCAGCTTATGTAAACTATATGAACACAAATGCCAGGTCCAAATCCCTGTCTTAGCCAAAATATACACTGTTAAAAGATGAAAAGCTAGTCCATCCAGAAATGCCTATGTTGTTTAAGCCAAACAACAAAATTTCAGGACGCTTCTAAAATCTACAAAGCATTAAACTTTCAGGATATTGCCACCCAACTTTTCCAATGCTCTCCTCCCACCCACCCCCCACACACTTTACCAAACCAGTGATTTTTTATTTAAGTCTATTTCAGTGATCAGATAATGAATTTTTGTTTAACCTCTATTACTTTTCTTTATCTTTTTCAGCACATATCTATAAAGTAACATTCTGTTTTTATTTCATTGTTACTCTATTTTTTGGGCAGTACAAACAAAGTCTAACAAACATAGCAACTCCTCCCGCCCTAAGCATGTAGCTCCAATATTTGACATTTCAGTTGGCAAAACAGGAGAAAGAGTTTAGGGGAGGAACAGTCATACGTGACTTAAAAGGTACCAACTTTCACCCACCGTTCCTATGACCCAGGTGGATTTAATGGGGTGGTGGCGTATATCTTGCTCTTGCTGGATATATGGTGCCAGGATGGAATACTCCTTTGTAGGTTCGTGGGAGGCAGAGGGTATGGTTTCCTTCCTCAGCGTCACTGGTGGTGGTGGCTGTGGATGCAGATGTGGCTGCTCCTGCTTAGGCATCTGTAAGCTCAGGGATTTGGGCACTTCAGTCCACTCACTGGTCAAAGAAGATTCCTTCAGTGCCACAGGAAAGGAAAGGAAGAGATATAAGCAACCTTATACTGGCTCAGCCTATTTATCTATCTAATTCAGAATTACACGGGACAATTACTGGAATAACTCTACCACGGTAATAATGGGGAACTTTTACTACCCTGACATCCACTGGGAAACAAATTCTGCAACAAATTCCCAAGGATAAGACAAGAAGCAATGGTGGACGTTTGTCAGAGGGAGACCCAACCTGAAAATAAGAAGGAATTTCTTGACAGTGAAAACCATTAAGCAGTGGAACAGCTTTATTTTGTTTTATTTTTTCAAACTTCTTAACCGCCCATCAGCCTCATAAAAGGGTTCTTGCCTTCTGGAGTTGTGGGTGCTCTGTTCCTGAAGGTTTTTAAGAAAAAAAACTGGACAACAATTCGTCCAAGATGGTATGAGGATTCCTATCTTAGGCAGGGGGTTTGACTAGGTCCCCAATCTTTTGGGCACCAGGGACCGGTTCGGTGGAGAAAGGTTTTTCCATGGACTGGAGAGTACATAGTTTTGTGTGCTGCCTGCATCCTACGGATGGGGCTTTGCTTGTTTATGCGGACCGGTTGCTGGCATGCCGTGGGCCGGTACCGGTCCATGGACCGGAGGTTGGGGACCCCTGGACTACCAGACCTCCAAAGATCCCTGGTTTAGCCCTGTGATTCTATGAATCTATGAACTAACAGAGTGATTCCAGGTTAGGAAGAAATCACCCCAGTTAAGGGTTGAAAATACAAAAGGCTGAACCTGGAATTGTTCCACAAGCAAATGTATACTGCCCCTTCCTGGACTTTTTTTAAAACAAGTGATCCTCACTTACCAATGGTAATTGGAACTGGGTACTCCTTTGCTAAGCAATGTGGTCATTAAGGCACAGTGTGTCACATGGCCATGCCAGTTTATGACAGTAGTTCTGGCAGTCCCAGTTGCTATCAATAGATAAATTCCACAGTCACAACATCCCATGATGGCCATTTACAGCCTCCTGCTGGCTTCCCCATCCACTTTGCTTGTTAGAAGTAGGCAATGAAGGCTGCAGATGGGATCACATGGCAGCAGGACACTTTGCTTGTTAGAAGTAGGCAATGAAGGCTGCAGGTGGGATCACATGGCAGCAGGACACCGCAACGTCATAACTGAGAGCTGGTTGCCAAACACCTGAACCATGATCGCATAATGATGGGGTTGCCTTTTCTTCCATGTACAAAACCAAAATCTAGTGCTGGGTGGCAGCATTTGCAACAAGCTGCTTCAGACAACGAAATTTTAAGCCTAGAAAATCTCCAAAGCCAAAAGCTTGTCACTGAATGGGAAGAAGGGGAAAGGATGGACAAACATCTCTTTTTTATTATTATTTTACCTCTATAAAGCAGATATCAGCAAGCTTTTGGAGTGCTATTTTCATGGGATGTCCCAGACATCCCTCTCATCTTATTTCTAAAAATCGTCTGAAATCTAACGAGCTTTTGATTAATTCATAAAAGTGTGGTGAAATCTTTCAACATTCCAACCGTTAAAAGAAAAAATGCCAAATGAGGAACATGATAAATTGATGCAAACAATGTTTTATTACTCAGATTCCTGTTGCAAATATTAAGCAGAAAGTATAGAAACTATAGCCACCTGAACATTTTTGTTGTCAGTTTAAACTAGAACCGTCTTTTTTCTTTCCCAACCCCCAACTTGCATGGTACTTGCGTAGTCCAAGTCAGTTTCTTTTATTTATTTTGCACCAAAGGATTGTGTTACAAATCTTAGTACAAGTATTTTAATTAATTCCAAGTGGCTTTCATGCAACTGAGAGTTTTTTGATGTCTTAGAAAGAGTCAGAAAATATTATCAGTTCAAACTAAGGGAAGCAGTTAAGGCTTATTTACCGATGAGAAACGCATCTGCGCTGTTATTTATTTATTTATATTTAATCAGTCTCCAATCTCACGGAAAAGTAATAATAATAATAATAATAATAATAATAATAATAATAATAATAATAATAATAATAATAATAGTAAAGTTGGAAGGGATCTTGGAGGTCATCTAGTCCAATCCCCTGCTCAGGCAGGAAACCCTATACCATTTCAGACAAATGGCTGTCCAGTCTCTTCTTAAAAAGTGACACTAAATCGTGCACAATAAAAAAATCTCAATATTAAAACAACTGCAATTAAAAGACAACAGTAACAAAATAGCCAAGAAAAATGATGTTAAAAACAATAAAGCCATCTCATTAGATCGCCATTCCATTGAGATCCCCAAGCCTAATTTTTAACCTAATGTTTAAATTAACTGATCTCCATCTGTATATACCAGATATTCTAACACATATTCCCACCTACCCTTCAGGCAGAACAGAAAAGGAATGAAAAGTGAAATGGGTGGATGGATGGATGGATGGGAAAGAGGAAGGATCTCCATTTATTGTTACAGAAAGAGTAAAATTCGGCAAACAAGTAGGCATCCAAAGCATCAAGATTAAACTTCAATGATATCCAGGCTTTCCATCTCTCTATGCTTATTTTTACTTCTGCCCATTTCCCTTGTTTTCAACAGCCTCTTTTATTATTATTTTTTTTAAGAATGACTGAGAAGCCAGTGGAATATTTCAATTCCATGCAATTTTAACACAATTAACGATTTCCTAATCAGGCAACATCTTTTATATTTGTTGGGAGGGGGAGACAAAATCATCATGAATGCACACCCATATAGAGACAGACAGGAGCATCTTGCAGCTACACAAGCCTGAAAAAATGACGCAGCTACTTTAATGATTTGATAAGAGGAGCTACTTCGTGCCCTTGTACAGTATGCTGCACATGGTACAGAGCTAATACAGAGACTACTTAGCCTGGCCAGTAAGTACATGGAAGATGCACAGATAGAGCAAGTTAAGGTTGGCTAGTTTTAAACTACCTTTGGATTTTTGTTCAGAGCTTAAATTAATGTTTACTTTATGGTTCAGCATATTTTGTGAATCCAGAAAACAATGAAGCCTGTTTTCGACTTTTTGTGAGAAACTAAGAGACATGTAATTTGGACTCTGGGATTGGACGATTAGAGTTGTATGCGATTATAGGAGAAATGTGGACTATTGTTAATTTTAGAATAAGAGTTGGATGTATGTTTTATCTACACATGTACCAAAAATGGGAAGCTATTTTTTTTCTTTCCTTTTTCTCGCATTCTTATCTTGCTTTTTGTCTGATTCTCTTTTTGTTTCATTTTTCGTGCTTGTTTACTTTTTATTCACGTTTTTAAAATGTAATCACATTAAAAAAAAAACAGGTTAATTCAATAACCAAGTTGTGCTGAGTGAAGGCAGGCATGCAGTTACTTCAAAAACAGAAATCTAAGCATCTAAGCGTAACATCTTGTAGATACACAAATTGCGGAGCCCTCTTTATGCACGACTGTGAGCATTCCTGTTTCTCGGATGTTATTATTACTTTAATTTAATTTATACCCCGCCCTTCTCCCGAAGGACTCAGGGCGGCTTACAGGCAATAAAAACGGAACTATACAATAAATATCTAAAAACAATTAAAATATATATTAAATAAGCCTGTTATTTTTAGAAAAGTTATAAAATCCCTATTAAAATCCCTATACAATCCCCCCCCTAGGCCAATCCCGCTTGATGGAAAAGCCATNTCGCCAGCCGACACTGTTTGGCCGACGGCACCCTGAGGAGGCCCGCTCTGTGGGAGCGTACCGGTCTATGGGAGGTAATCTGCGGCAGAAGGCGGTCTCGGAGATACCCAGGTCCGATGCCATGGAGCGCTTTAAATGTGGTAACCAGCACCTTGAAGCGCACCCGGAAGGCTACCGGCAGCCAGTGCAGCTCACGCAAGATCAAGAAGCTTTCCTGATCTTGCAAAGCCCCTCCCTTGCAATTCTGTAAACACTTGCCTTGCCATTCCAATTTTCAGATACAACAACAAACAAGAAATCCAGAAAACTTTCTAAAAACATATTCCTAGTGAGAAAAGTTGCGAGCTTCTTTGTAAGCGGCTGCAGAGGCAGGGATGCATTCCAGAGGCTGGTATTCGGATACAAATTTTCCAGCGCGTGAAACCATTATATAAGCAACACGTTAAAATACAGATTCTCAAACTCTGTGGATTTGGGGTCTGCTAAAATAATACATAATGCCAATCTGCCATGAAGTATACTTACCGATATATTAGATGCTGGGCTGGTAAGCGAGGCTGTCACCGGAAATCACAGCTGGTATAGCATTACAGGTAGTCCTCACTTACAAGCGTTTGTTTTGTGACTGTTCAAAACTACAACGGCACTGAAAAAAGTGACTCTTATGACCGCTTTTCACACTAATGAACTTTGCCGCATCTCCATGCTCATGTGATGAAAATTCAGATGGTCGACAACGGACTCATATTTATGACGGTTGCAGTGTCTGGGGTCATGTGATCCCCTTTTGAGATCTTCTGACAAACAAAGTCAATGGGGAAGCCAGATTCACTTAACAACCGTGCCACTAACTTAACAACTGGAGTGATTCACTTAACAATTGTGGCAAGAAAGGTGGAACAAAACTCAGTTAACAAATGTCTCACTTAACAACAGAAATTTTAGGCTCAATTGTGGTTGTAAGCCAAGGACTACCTGTAGTAAATTTAAGATAATCCCTCCTAAAAAAAAAAAGAGTTGATAGAAAAAACACACTGACAAAATTCCTGTGAAGTTTCCAACTGCCGTGCCAGGTCACCCTATGATTGCCCAAGGCCAACTGAAACCAGTCCTTTACATTTCCTCCTTTCCTGTAATTGTGACACACTTACAGAATCCATGTACGAGAAAAGGGAAAGGGGCCCAGACCATCAATTCCTCCCATTCAGCTCTGGGGAAACTGTAACTCAAATGACAAAATGGAAAATTTATTATCTGTGGGGCTTAGTTTGTCCACCAGGGACAACAACGCAAAAAACTATGCCAAAGTAACAATGGGTCTTGACACAGAT